TTAATATAAAAAAATAACCTAGATTAAATGAAGCGGAATGCATGTCACAAAGAGAGACTGGAAAGCGGGGGCTAAAGCAGGGATCACTTAGGGTGCCTAGGAATAGGGGCATCCTTTTAAAGCTGAGGGTTTGATTTCCGAGTTCTTCACTCTGTCATCTAATGGCATCCTATTATCTAATTCTTCAAAGTCATTTCAAGGACCAGACAACTATTGTAGGCGTCTTCCCCAATTACACCACGAGTGACAACAGCTTAGCACATCCAGAACGCCAGAATACTCCACAGTAGCCTTCCCTATTATGCTGTATAAAAGGCACGCGGATTTCAAGTGTATCGTATATTGTAACAATGTTAAAATTACTAGGGAATTTTACACCAGTAACTCTAAGGCAGGATGTTATGTAAAATTAGTCTTGAGAGGAGAGAATCCAATCAGCTGCAGGTTTTTAAAAATGTTATTGTTGTACATTACAGTGGAGCCTCATTTATCCGAACGCCTTGGTTTCTAGTCAATTTGTCCGGATATGTGAAGTATCCGGATATCTGATTTACCAGTTAAACAAGACAAGATAACGTTACAAAATTCTTTTCTGATGAAAAATCGTCCGGAAACTGAAGCATCCCGATATGTGGTGTCCAGATATCTGAAGGTCCACTGTAAATAGTTTTATTTTAATTAAATTGTTTTATTTCAATTTGAATTCAAGACATGACTAAAAATACATAATATTATTATTATAAAGAAATCATTCAATCCTCTGGAATACTGGTGCAATTAAAACCTACCCATATAAAGCCTATATAAGAACAGAATATGCCGATTGGATACATGTTAACAACTCAAAATCTCTGTCAATGTTCATCATACAAGATATAGTCTAGTTCTAAGTCATCATTTTGTAAGATCAATGACCTTGTCAGCAACTATAAAATAATCATGAAGTCAAATGCTGACAGACATTTTTCATACTACTTGTTAAGTCATAATTTACACATCGATTTGTCGACGGATTTTTCCGTTATTTCTCGATCATGACAAGGAGCACACGGCAGGTGTGACCGGTCGGCAGGGGATGCTTACTCCTTCACAGCACCAGACCCATTTTTAATGTTTTAGGAGTCCGTGTTTGTTCAACACAAGATTTGTATTGTTTAATGGACTTCTGGGTTTGAATACTGTTCGTTGTCCTCATACATTTCATAAGAATTCCTTGGAGAGTCGCTTAGATTTAGAGTTATACACGTAAAACAATATCCATAGATAAAAAAGCAGTAAATGCTGTACTGACCAAAATAAGATTAGCCAAGGTCAGAAAGAAGAAGGCAATCAGTATCTCGTTGGATTTAAAGGGATGGGAAATTTCCTAGGCATACTTGTAGAAAGCAAGATATGAAGATAACTAACAGTAATCTATTAAAAATACTTATAAAACAACAAATCTGTACACAGAGAATAAAACACATACTCCTTAAAATTCAAAATGGGGGATCATATGTCTAAAGTGTGGAAATCATCCCTGTTTACCGCCCATGCATGCTGTAAGGACTATGTATTAAGCAAGTAGACATTCTGTAGTCGAATTCACTATAATAATAAAAGCATAAAATTGGTATAAAACATTGACGGTAAATGTTGGTAACATCCCTTTTTGACGTTTTGGCAACTTTTTTATTTTGTTTTCATACAAGCTATAATTGTGGATGACGACACAGAAAATTGAGTTATTGGAATTATATCACGAATTGCATGTCTTCTGATTACTAACATGTATTTAAATGACTAGCATTACTTGTATTTCAAAACAAAGTAATACATATTCATAGACAAAGCATATCTATACGTGTACTGTAGGTCATAAAACAATTTACACATGACGACAAACGCTAAATAAGTAAGATTTTAGAGAAGAAAGAAAAACAAATGCACTTAAATTTATATAGTTAAAATTGAAAAAGTACTTTGGCATCAATGTCTTAATCTGTTGAATTTGGTGTTGTTGAAGTGAAGGATTACCACAAGTCTTGGTTTGTTCCCTGAATGTGAAGGTTAAATTCTGTGTCGAGTCTTGTTGTTATGAGTAACAATTGATTTCTGTTTATCAAAAGATGACACATGTCCTATAACTTTGATCTCATCACAGATCAATATATGATGTTCCGGAAACACTAAGACTAGCTCATTAATGACGGAAGCTGATTGGTCTATTTTCAACAGACTTCTAGAAGAGCTTATGATACGTTGTCTTCTTATTAGCTGTTTCCGAAACTTCTTTCCTGTATACTTCTTAACCGGAAGTTCAGCTTAGAGTGTGTTAAGTATCAAAATAAAGAGCTTTTCTGCATTTTTCTTTCACTGATTCTTACTTTAACCTTATTTTTCATTTAATGTTATAAAATATATAATGTAGAAAAAAAAACATTTAAAAGGTTTTTTTTTAAAAACATAAACATGTACCTGAAAAATTCATGTCAGATTATATAGTCATTAGCACTTACGTAACACAGTTCAACCTTTACACTGTTCCTCTCTGTCATTTTGCTAATATCACTGTTCTTTGGGGTCTTTGACTTTTTCCTGTGAATGAAATATATGGAGATAACGAACAATATTCAAGCTCAAAAAATCTGTTGGCAACACAAATTTGGAGCAGAACAAAAACGGACCTCCAAAATATCAGAGGTGGGATCAGGTGCCATGAAGTTGTGAGCATCCCCTACCTACCGATCACACCCGCCGTGTTCTCCTTCTCATGATTGTGAAATAACAATTCATGTGTGAATAATGGCCTAACAATTGTATGAAAAACGTCAGTCAGTATTTGACTTTATGATAAATTGCATTTGCTGACAAATGAATCATTTTCCATCCGTAATGATATAATTCATCTATGGGTAAACATATTCTTTTACTAGGAAAGGGATATTATCCTAAAGATATGTAATATTTAAAATCAGTTACCTATTTCTGGACACAAAGCAAGCAAACAATTTGGTTTTTATCATCAAGCAGGCCTATAGTTCGCCCCATACCGTGGGTTTGCATTATGAAATATTGGAAATTGCAACATTGTGTAACACAAAACCATCAGGTGTACTCGTTTAATTCTCGTCAAAGTATTTTTTATGTTAACAAACAATGTGTTTTCCACAAAAACTGAAATTTAATATCAATGGAAGAGATTTATTTTGTTGAATTAATTGGTGAGTATGGATGATATCTTATCTTACATTTTTATTTAAACCATACCATTGAACATCAACCCTCTTTGCAAATTTCCAAGTGGCAAAATGTTCTGTACGCAAATTACAGGAACTCTCCTCTTTAGACCTTTAGATATACTATAGTGGGGTGTGGACCTAAGGACGGAAATAAGTCGACAATATTTTCAATATATATTGTACATTGAAACGTTGCAGAATTGTAATGTGCCCTGAAAATGTTTATCAAAGTTACAAGACTCAATTTTCGGTATTGTGCTGAGACTCTAAAGTGCGCCAAGTTTAGAATACATGCATCGGCAATCTAAAACACATTGTGCTTTTTATTTAGCCGAAAAATGCTTGCAGCTTGAGTTATTTAGCCTTATTGTTTTCATTAACATAAAAAAATGTTTGGATTTCAATTTCAAAATATGTTTAAAAACCGCTTAAGAATAGATTTTTGCCCCCAAAAAGGGAAAATAATACCGGTAATTGATGATAATAAGCAAATACAAATTTTCGATGTTTGAAGAAAAAATATTGGATTGTGGGAATTTGATTATATGGTTGGAGAATGTATAATTATTAGTAATACCTATAAATTTTTACATTTTGTTGTGGTCATTAATTGAGTGTCTCTCAATACCTCGAAAACACCGAAAATTAAGCCCACCGAAAATTAGTGATTTCACAGTATTATATAAACTTAAACTTGCCAGACTTACAGATAATGACTGTTAAGTTTACAAAGATTTTTCCAGGCAATCAATCCAAATGAAAATTAAAATAATATCTTCATTCATATTTAATTATATGATACCGCTATAAATTAAAATTTGTACTAAAGGTATATACAAAATGTATTTCTTGTATTTAAAATGAATGACATTTTTAAAGAATCAAGAAGACAATATCGATAAGTGATGGTATCAGTTAGATTAGTTTTGACTGTGTTATATTAGAGGCAATGTCAGATCAAAGTCATCACCTTCTCCCTGGTCATTTAAATAAAAAATTACTGCATCCAATCGTGTGGTACCTTCTTTTTCAAAAGTTGAAATGTTTTTCTTTTTGCATAAAAGATATTACCATATAGGCTATATAGGGATGAGGAAAGAAAATTATGATGTTTTAAATCTCTTACGTCTAAATATATAAGATATATAAGCAAATATACATTGAAGTTATCATCTAGTAAGAAACCAGAGAAGAATCCTACCTGAACATGCAAATATTAAAGGATTATGGTTTCAATATCAATTATCCAATACTTAAAGTTTTATGACACAAAACTTTGAAATAAGGAGCAAACTTGGAACATGACTTTAAGGAATATCGTCTTGAATTCATGTATTACTAGCTATTAAAAATGGGAACATCAAAGTTGTATAATTTTTAGAACAGGATGGTGTAATTTTATTTTACCCAGCAGAGGACAAAGTGCTCACTGTCACTCTCAGGTTTGTCTATTCCAGATTATACGTAGAGCATAAAACAAGTTTTCGATATCAGTACTTGATTTTGATATGTCTAAAAAAAAAAAAAAGCTTTCTAATTAAAAAAATTAATGGACTTCCTGAAATCCTCGTAAAAGCTGGTGTTTATAAAAATGACATGCAATAAAGAGGTAGGAGCCTATGTAATAACAATATTCGCTGAAGAGAAGTCTGAAATAGATCTAAATCGATTGTACCCGCAAAAAACCCTTTCAACATCGTGTTTTTAAGCTTTCTATTGATATTACTTTCTTACAGGAAGCGCGGATGACACCCAATGCATCCGTTTGTAGTCTTAGTTTTTAAGTGTAAGGAGATAATAAAAACACAGACATATTGAAAGGTGCCGAAAGAAGTTGGATGCAGCAAAAGAAAATGGCTGCAAAGTTTTGTTATTCAGCAGATCTTACCAATCTGACGATTAAATTGTCTAAAACAGTTTCCCCGGCAGACTCGGCAGTCATGTTCACTTTAGGAGTGTCAGGAAATATTTTGGCTTTAGTGCTGCTAATCCGACACGCAGACGAGCATAAATGGAGAATTTTCTACAGACTTGTTGGAGCTCTAGCTTGCACGGACCTGTTTGGAATAATATCTTCTTCTCCGGTGGCCTTTGCAGTTTATAACAACAAATTTGTGTGGCCTGGCGGTCAACCAGTGTGTGATTACTTGTCCTTCATGCTCATATTTGCCAGTGTTGCCACCCTAACTGTTGTAACTGCAATGTCATTGGACAGGTTCTTAGCGTTATGGTACCCATATTTTTATAATTCCTCACAAAAGAAGAGACGGATTCATGTCATGCTTGTTGGAATCTGGATTTTTTCGACACTGATAGCCTCCTTGCCATTAATGAATTTTGGCCGTAATATACGCCATTTCCCATGTACCTGGTGCTTCTTTGATTATTATGGAACGTACAGAACGGACGTTGCGTTCTCGGTATTATACACTTCTCTGGGAATACTTGCAGTAGCATTCTCGACTGGTTTCAACTCTCTTGTTATTTTTGCCATCTCTAAGGGGGCGTATGGCCCTCGTCGTGGGAGTATAAAGTGTGTTAAAGGAAAAAGGCGCGAACGAAGAAACGAGATCTTTACTCTCATATTTTTAATCGCCATTTCAGTTATTCATGCCGTGTGTTGGATGCCATTAATGGTAAGATTTCAATTTTGTGAAATTGATTTTGATAAATTGATAAATGTTGTGTTTTACATCTATTTGAGGATTTTTAACTCATACAGAGACCTTAGTCACTAATGCAATTAGCAAACCTTATACAAAATAATGGATTGGTTACATACAAGTCAGTCAATTTTGATTTTATTTCCAGATTCGTGTTTTAATAAATACATCTGGAGCACTTCCAAATTATAAAGCCGATCTTATTGTTTTAAGAATGGCTTCATGGAATCAGATACTAGATCCATGGTTGTACATCCTGCTTAGAAAAGAGATGCTAGTAAGAATTTATAAATTCTACTTAAGGAAAAGATATGGTGTCACGTCTTTGGTTTCAAGCAACAGTACGGACAGTTCATCAGGGAGTAAGCGGGATAATCTACAATTACAATCACTGAGTCCCAAACAGCGGAGACTGCTGAAGAAAGTGAATTCGACAGATTCCAATACTTCTAATGCAACAGAAATCAAATCCTTCTCCATGCAATGAATTCTACCTACTAGAGATTCATTATAGATAGAAATGAATTCAAGTTTCAAGGGCCTCTAATGCAACAGATATAAAATTTATATTTTCTAGAAAATAACTAATGAGATGACATTAACCTTTACATCGTCAACTGCCCTTGTTTATTTAGCGATATTCCAACATCACCTGCATAAGTATATTTGTTTTGTTTCTTATCTGATTTGATACCCAAGAATATGTTCTGAATCCAACAGATTTTAAACTGAAGCAAGCTACTAGCAAATAGGTTGATTTTACTTGGACTTCAACAACTTCTTTTAATATAATTGTTTGCAAAGTCTTTGGTCGGTGTGGTGACCTTCTTTGTAAATAAACATTGTTTGACCGTATTTTGCATAACATGTTTCCTAATCTTTATTGGACCAGTTCTTTTCTACAAATTTGACTACGGAGTTTCTAATTTATATTGTTATTTTTTGTTGCATTCTATAATTTTCAATTTATATTGTATAATCTACCTGATCAAAGGCCTTTGATCCTCTCTTTGGTATTTCCAAGGGCCCCAGTTTGTACTGTTCACGATTTATTTATTTACTAGATTTTAGAGATTGATCGCTTTTCATTTTCTTCCTCTCTTATCTATTAATATTATGAAAAGTAAGTTTTCAATAATAGTGACCTAAACGGCGAAGAATTTCATTTGTCAAATGATTAAAGACGGGCAAGTATTTATTTAGAATGACGTTGTCCTCCACATCGTGTATTTGAAATTAGAAAGGTTTTCAACTATACAATTCATTAAGTAAATTGAACATTGTTTGATGTTTTTAATTACATTTATGCATTAATTATCTATGTCTGTTTGTTGACTGTATAAATACATTCAAAAACAAAAAAGTCACATTGACATTGTAAACTGATACGGAAACATGTGTAAAGGAACAAAACAAACAAGCAGTTAATCAGGAAATCCTTATTTCTGGTTTCTAAATAAAATCTAACATTTGAAACTCAGGTCAATTGCTTGTTATTCCACGTCTTAACAATATCTTCTAGTAGCCTTTTGATAAAGTTAAATAGTTAGCAAAACTAAAGGTACTGTGAGCAATGAGCTCACTAAATGATACACCCTCCTCCCACATGGTTATAATGGCAAAGTCCATGTTTGCTCTGGTAGACAAATAAGTGAGATCAAAAAGTAAAATAGGGGGTGCAGAATGGCTTTATGTAATAAAGAATCTTTGAAAGTATCATTAAATTTTATTCAGTGGTACAGGAGGAGTTGCGAATAAGAGATAGGTACCCTTCAATATTATAGAAAAATGGCCATGTCCATGTTTTCCTCTGGGAATCCCAAAAACGAGTCCGATCAAATACATGTAGTAAAGTACCGGTAGGAGGTCACATGGTACTTTATAGCAAATATTCGGAAGAGGAATGGACAGCCCAAAGCGTAACAGACGGACGGACAGACAGTTAAATAAGTTTATATAACATTCTGAGCAGGTATAAGGTGTCCGTCATAAATCTTTGTAAAGATTGATAAGAAGTATTATGTCTCGAAAAGAAAACAGGCTTTGTAAAAATAAGCATACTTTAATAATATTAAATTATCCACATGTATATAGGGTTTTTTTTAACCCTGATGTTTGTAATTTCATTTTTGGTGTGTTTTGACTATGCTGATGTACGGCATTTTTCATTTTATATTTAAATCTCATGTAAACTTTCTAATCACGCATCGTCCAGTTTTTCCATACATATTTCTGTATTTCGCTCTGTCTTCAGGCTTAAAACATTTTAACATCTTTACGAAAACCACAAGTCAATTTCGACCAAAGTTGAAAGAAGATATTTTCAAAAGTTTAATTTGATCTAAAATTAAATTATTTAAAAGAACTTTTGAACTTGATAACTGTTTTTCATCTTTGTAATACATTAATACAGATGTGATTGCATAAAATTTTTCTACTCATAATTCATGATTTAGTCATTTCGACCAGTTAAAAATAACTGACGTTTTCCGGGCTTTTCATTTCCAGTTTTTGTAATGGTATCGTCGACATTTCCTGGAACGCAAACTTTCAAAATCGTGAAAAAAAGCCTGAAAAAACATCAGATATTTTAGACTACATTTAGACCTAAATCTGAATATAGAATTTTTCAATAAGCAAAGTCAGGAAGTATGTGTGCTTCAATTCAAAGGAGAAAAATAAGATACATGTACTAGTATATTCTTTTAAAAGTTTTTAATGTCGTGTCTTAAAATATTAACTGCTTTATATTCAATAGATTAAGAAATACTTCTTTTATGCATTAGCATGAAAAACAATTTTTTAAAAATGTATGTATTTTTACAATGTTGATGATAATATTCCTAATACACCAGGAAACTTATTCACGACAGGCATCCGTCGTTTTTTTTAAACAAATATCTTGCAAAATCATGATCAGTGATGTGTTCATGAAAGCAAAAAAAACGTCAGGAAAATGGCAGCAAACTTCTGTTATTCTACCGATCTTACAAACTTGACACTACAACTTTCTAAAACCGAAACGCCCGCCAACGTCGCTTCTATGTCCACTGCAGGAATAGTGGGTAATGTTTTGGCTTTATTTATACTCATTCGACATGCCAAGCAACATAAATGGGGTATATTCTATAGACTTGTTGCTGCATTGGCCTTTACAGATGTGTTTGGAATAGTGACCACAGCTCCAGTTGCTTACGTTGTGTACAACAACAATTTTAAATGGGTGGGAGGACAGACATTGTGTGATTACTTGTCATTTATGCTCACCTTCTCCGGTGTTGCAACGTTAGGCATAACGACATCTATGTCATTAGACAGATATTTAGCGCTATGGCATCCATATCTCTATAACTCTTTACAGAAAAACAGGCGAATTCACGTTATGCTTACTGGAATTTGGTTTTTTGCTGCATTCATCGCGTCTATGCCGTTGCTGAAATTCGGGCGTAACATTCGTCACTTTCCCTGCACATGGTGTCTGTTTGACTATTTTGGAACTCACAAAACAGACAAAGCATTTTCAATAATGTTTGCTTCTTTGGGTATATTAAGCCTTTTTTCATCTTCTGTTTTAAATTGTTTGGTGATATTTGCCGTTTGCAAAGGATCGTCTGGGGGTCGTCGGGTAAGCGTAAAAAGCAGCAGAGGAAAAGAGCACCACAGAAGAAGCGAGGTTTTCATACTGATATTTTTGTTTGCTATCTTGTTTTCCCACACTATCTGCTGGATACCTATAATGGTAAGAAATATTACATTTCTAAAATACTGAATAAATTTCAGGGAAGAGTCGATTTATTCATATACTGAAAGGAAAAAGAAACGCAGGGTAACAAAATATGCGAATTTTTTTTGACCGCATGACCAAAAATTACGAAAATTGGTCAGATGAGAATCTTGGTTACTATGCACCAAAATCAGTGTTCAGAATTATTCAAACGTGAAATGTATGACGTCACGTAAGAAAAGTGCTAAAAAGCCAAAAACACGTGCAACTTGATAACGAAAAGTTTGTCAACGATCTTCATGTACCATTTGATGCACTTGAAGTATACACATTGTTTTTCAGTATTTATAGACGATATGCATTTCTTGCAATCTTGTTACAGTTGACGGAAGTTCCATGGGGTCTGGCTTTTACGTTGCCTAAGTAAGGACAAAGGCAACAACAGCTTGCTGTGCAGTCGCTTGTAAATTTCCCCCCTTAGAACGTCTTAACTATCGTCAGAGAGGGCCGTGAATGGTTTTTAATCAACCGTGACGGTGACGTTGACGCGTAACTGAGCCACGTCAAGAGCGGGTTATTCGTCCCTGCCACCTGTTTAATCGCTACCTTACTACCACAAAACTGCTATAAATAGTGTAGGTTATCATAATCATTACATTCACCATAAAACTGAAAGAAACCGATTGCGCGATTTGGATCTTTGAGCTGGTCAACTTTACGTTGGAGATCCTCTCACTGGCGCATGCGCACGTCGTTTGCTTAATTTTTGTGGCGTGTTTAACTCCGGCCCATTGTAATCTAGGTTTATCAAGATTTTCAGCCAAGCAATCACATTTACCCACTCGACTGGTCCCCATAAAGTCCATCTTATTCTCATTGAACATCTGTGGGGCTGAGTGGAAGATAGGGTTCGAAATGCCGAATATGGTCCCTTTCAGCTAAGGGCTATCTTGTTGAAAAGGTTGAAAAATATCCCTATTAGTAGGATAAACACACTGATGAACCCCACGCAAAGGAGAAAAAAGACTGTGACAGATACGCGAAGGAGACATTGAAGATAATGAGAATTTTCAATTTTCACTTTTTCGGGGGTATCGTCATATCAGTCTCAATAACTTGAAAATTATGAGGCAAAGTCAAATGGAATTTTGGTTACATTTTTATAAAATATGAATTTTGACGTTAGATAGGAATACTAGAAAATACATCAGGAAAAATAAAATTATTTTACCTCAAAAGTTTACCCTGCGTTTCTTTTTCCTTTCAGTATATGTGAAACATTTAAACACATAAAGCTCTGAAGTTCCCACAGGAACTTTGACAAAAACTGAAATTGCAAATTAAATATCAAGAACTCATGATCAGTTTTAATATTTAGTGAGACGATTTTTAAAAGATTTATCGTTTTTCTTTAAAATATTTAATCTTAATATATTTCAGTCACGAATTCTTACCAACACTTTAGGATCTACCCCTAATTTCAAGGCCGATATTTTGGCTTTTAGACTGGCTGCATTAAACCAAATTCTTGACCCATGGCTTTATATTCTACTGAGGAAAGAAATATTAGCCAGAGTTTACAGATTTTATCGAAAGAAGCGGCATGTTAAGAGATTCGTTCCTGCGAAGGTGAGTACAACTGGCAACAGTACGGAAGAGACTTTCGGGAGTGTTCGTGGTGATGTTCGTCTTCAACAGCTAAGCCCAGAAAATGAAGTCGAAAGTCGTCCTGTCTAAAAGATTTTCTTAACATGACTTCTTTTGTGATACTGAATATAAAAATGCTACCAACTGAAATGCTGAAACAGACTCAGAAAATAGCATAAGTCGTTGTTAACTAAGATGAAAAGTACTTAAACAGACTTGATTTGTTCTGATATTGTTTTTGATTTACTGTAAGGCTTCCTTGAAGAAGCTTTAAATAAAACTTACAATATGGGGCTAGCTTTGTTTCTTTTTCTGTTTTTCTCAATTCATGCAGAGAACAACCAGACATTGTATAAAACTTTTACTGGTTTAATTTTATAGTATTTATTTTGAGGTATGTATGCATGCAAACGTTCTTTTGAAAAGGAATAAAAATAGGAGTGTCATTTATACATGTATTTGGAAAACGCTGACAAGGAAGTACAGAGTTGTCATGAATCATCCTGGAACTTCTCTAGATTCTAAAAAAATGTTTGTGAGGGTTGAGGTGTTTGATCTTCTTTTTTACTTTTTTCATGAATTGTCTGCGGATTTCCCCATTTGCCGATCATGACAAGGAGCACACGACTGGTGTGATCGGCCGACAGGGGATGCCTACTCCTCTATATGGCACCTGATCCTACCTCTGATATTAGAGGTCCGTGATCGATTTATATTACCGGGGGTATTTTAATGGACTTTTGGCCCTAATTACTGTTCGTTTTCTCCATATCTCTTTTAACTCAAAACAACATGCCTTTCTTTTTATTGTTTCCAAACGGAAATAAATATGCTAGAATGAATTCCTGATTTAATCCATAATTTTGAATGAAGAAATGCACATTGAAATTATGATTAATGCCGAATGAGAGTTTTTCCAGTAATTTAAAGACACTACATTTTAAAACCATTGTAAATAACACACAGGCATGCATGCTATTGTATTGACAAAATGAGTTCTTGTACATGATTAAATAGAAATAAAAACTTTATCATTAAATTATCGATTTCTGCTTTAAATTACTCTCATAAAACCATCATCGCAAACAAGTCTTATTTTTTTATATTCAATCTTGATATTCATTATAAATTGCAATCTATCTTTAAAGAGCACGAAAATGTCAATGCCTTCTGTTGCTAAAATGATATCACTTCCTGGTTGTATTTTTGTTATAAATGTTAGTTTCTAATAAAAGTATAAAAAGCATCGTTATTAACAATCCAAATGCAACAGAAATATTTACTGATTGTTCCATGTAATATCTTCTACGATGTGTTTATAAGCAGATATAAATTTTACTTTTCAATGCATGTCTTTAAAGACTTCCGTCTTAGTTTATGATTGCTACTAGATTTTAAGTGCAATAGCCAACTTATGATTAAAGCTTAAGCACAGAGGTCTTGGACCAAGGAACACTTCTAAATGAAAGTTTGTTTATTGGCTTCTTCAAAGATAAAAATGTTTTTAAATGTTGAGACACTTTCAAAAGTTTTACTTTTTTATTATAATTTTCAACACAAGATTTTGAAAAGGGGATACAAGAATTACTTTTAAGCTTAAGATGGTGTGTGATAATATTTGAGTAATCATTAGTGAACCTGTAACATCAAATCTTATGTTTTCAACATTTTTTATTTTTTAAAAATTTACAAATTCAGTGAATGACAGTTTAATTCGTAATATATTGGCGATAATGGAGAAGAAATTTACCTATTTATATGTACGGTTTGGAGTGCTAGTGTAAAACATGATTTAGCAGTAATCAGAGACCTAAATCAAAATCACTTTTCCACTAAAATCTAGCTCTTAATTAAAAATATTGAAATCAATATCATAAGTCTTACAATCAATACAAAACGTGAGAAGGGACCCCCATCCCCCCCAACAGCAGCAACAACAACAAAACAAGGACCCTTAGAAATATTAGAGGTGAGATCAGGTATATATAAGAACAAAGAAGAACCTTAGACCATCTAAATCAGCTTTAAAAGTATGGTTTCTATCAAAGTTTTGCGCTTGAATTGACTAGACTTTTGTAAAAGCCGAATGAAAAGGTGGACCAAAATTGTTTAGTCGGATCAACTCAGATATTCAATGATTAGCTTGGGTGTATAGTAATTTATCCAAATGATGGTTTTTGAGAAATTAAAAAAAGAAAATAGGTAGTTTAAAAGAAAGTTGAATTGGTGTTTTTTTTTATTACTTTTTTTTTATTACTTTTTAAAAACTTTTTTCCTCATATCCTTTATTGAAAAATATTTCCCTAACAATGGGTAAAACTAATATGTGGAATAAGAAGACATTCTGCCTATTTTTCAGTAAAAAATACATATGATATTACAGAACAGGCATGCTCTTACATTCAACTATTGTCAAATATTTGGCAACTCTAACATACAGTAAATTTAAAGATGGCATGCTAATCCATCACAAAAGTGACATCGTCATAAGAATCTTTGGACTCTCTCTTCTCTGATTCCGTCTCTGAGTCCCTTGTTTTCTCGGACTCTTGTGGTTCATAACCCTGATTGACAAATCCATGATGTTTCTTCAGAACTTCGTTTCTAAGTTTTGTGTATGTGTGGTTTTCCTCCTCTCTCTGGGTAAATTCATAAGGATGGTTAAATCTGCTCTCACTTCTTTCCAAAACGTCATTTCCGGATGATGATGTCACTGACTTTCTACAAGCATCTAGGTACATTTCTCTGTTCTCAAGATCCCTTCTGATGGCTTCTTTTTCCTGAATTTCCGAAACTCCGTCTTGTTGAATTGCTCCTTTCTTTCCATTCGAAGGATGATAAGCATCCAGGTACATATTCTCATTTTCTTGATTACTTTCATTTTCCTTCTCATAGCCAATGGAATAATAAATGGTCTCAAGATCGGGCAGTTCGCAGTAATCGTTCTTAGATTGTAAGGCAGACACAGTAGTTTCTTGATTTTCTTTTTCTTTTTTGTTTCTAAAATACAACAAATCACTTCTTGATTTCATTATTATTAAACAATGAACTGTGAAAACAACAAAAAATAATCATACACAAAAGCAAATTGTTAACAAAGTAAACAGGAGCACCAAAAAATCTAGAGGTGGGATCTGGTACCAAAGAGAAGTGAGCATGCCCTGTAAGCGTCATATCCCTTATTATGACCAAGTAAACGGTAAGTCCGTTGACAATTCCGTGTTGAAAAATAGCCTTACAGTTTTTATGAAAGACATCAGTCAAAAATCGATAATGTTTTTAACCAATGTCATTTAATCATTAATGGAATTGGCAAAATTTTGCTTATTTTTGACAGTAGCCTGTCCTCTCTTTGAAATTATTCCTACGTACAATATTCGTGTCGAATCAACTGGGAAATATAAACACCATTAGCATATACTTAACATATATTATTACATATCAAATAATAGTAGTTGAAGACAGTTGACAATGGGAATGTTAAAGACATCACTTTTAAGTTAAGATCGAGTTTAGCATCAATGTATTTTTCTAGTAAAACATCTAAACACAAAAAAATGTGTAAGACTATGCATTGTCTTTTATTTTGAGTTCAGTGGGGTATATCGAATCAAAGAAGGAATGGAAATGAAAATTGAAGATTCCAGTGAAAGTGAAACTATGGTAATTTGTCTTGGAATTCAATTTGGTTGTTTTAAATAACATTATAAAAAGATTAAAACTTAGATATGGTTTCAATTCAACATTGCAATATATCGACGACAAAATATAAATCAAAAATGGTTTTTAAATTTATTTGTTCACTAGAAATATCGTAGTCTACTTAACTATAGGACATAAGTATGTCCCATCTGTTTCATGTCTTTACGTTCGGTTAAATCTCCTCTATTTGTACCGTAATTATTTTCCACTTTCACAAGTGTAATCTTCAAGTTGATTTGGTACGTGTATGATTACAGTTTGACAGGCTGGTAAGAAATAAAAAAGTTAATGTGGTGCCTTTCAATGATCTTGTTTAAAATATCAGCATTTTAAATAACACTGTTCTATTGTTGTTAAAATACTTCGTTTGCAAATACAGCTTACCTCTGGAGCTTATTTTGACTGATTATTTTTGGGGTATTTGATAGGTCATTCAATATATACCAATTCTGACAATGCATTACTCCGTTTATCCCATCGATACAAAGAACTCAATATCTGTTGTGACCAACAGGGGATGTTTACCTCTCCTAGGCATCTAATCTCACGTCTGATATCTGTGGTCCGCACGTTTCTCGTGTTCACCATTCATACGATCGTTTATACCACAGGATTAATGAGTTTGTGGACCGCCCGCTGCCTTCATCTTTTTTTTATTGGAACCAAGGGGAAGAATAGATGGGTTAATGTTAGGGATGAAATTTAGGAAAGATCTTTTTAAAATCTTTGACAGTTTTCCTCCGAAGAATTGAAGTACCTTAATTACCAGTCATTTTTGGTATGCAAACATTTTCAGATACGGTAATTTATTTAAATGAAATTTGGGAGGATGATACTGCATGCTTTCAATTTTTCGGGAAGAACAGAAGTATTACCATAAGGTTGGAACGAGGACATGGTGAATGGGGAGGTAAGGGTCCCAAACATTTTACCTATATTTAATAAACTATAGAAATCAAATATTATTTATAGACATTTCACATCAATAATAAGGTCTTTTGATCTTTTTTATCGGATCTCAAGGGAATGAGCTTTTGAATTTAGAGGAAAAATATTGAAAAATCTTCAGATCGAGTTTAAATAATCAAGATTATTTGATTTTATATCAAATAGTAAATTATTAATTTAGGACAAGGTTTTAATGTTTGGTTAGTTGGGACGAAGTGTACACAAGTTATTACATCAGGAATATACAAAGTCGTATTACGAGTCAAACTGCGTACGAATTAATCATAAAGGTGCACCGGAAGTTATCCCCGGGTGCGTCGATTTACCCAAAAGGACCCAAAAGGACCCAAAAGAACCCAAAAGGACCCAAAAGGAACCCAAAAGGACCCAAAAGGAACCCAAAAGGACCCAAAAGGACTTTAATTAATCTATCATAATACATTGAAAATTAATAATTTGAAGTAAATCACGAATATTATATTATATTTTTACATAAAAGTTGGCAAAACATACTTATATTGTTCATAGACCTAAAGCGAAGTATTGTTGCAACTGTAACAATAACATACAAGTTTTAAAGCACATCAAACACTAAATCTGGTCAGGTATGCTTTGATTTATTTTAGCTGAAATTAACAAAGTA